TGCTTAGTCCTGGTCTTTCCTGCCTCCCCCACCCCCACCTAGTGGTGTGCCACATCCCAGTATTGCAGCCCATTTCTATTTGTTACCTCTATATACCCATGCAGAGGTCTGCCCAGCCCTCTGTAAGCACCAGGGGAAAGTATTTACAAAATGTTCTCAAAACTTGAGGCAGAGAAGGCTCATTTTAAAGTGCAAATCACCAGTCCCCTTCTGAGAGTTTGTAGATTCATTTTGTTTACCCACTACTTACATGATTCTGACAAGAAGAAATCTCTGTGCCCTTGAGATAGATACCTAGACAATACCCAAATTACCATCTATAAAGGAAAAATGAAGCTGAATGTTAATGGCTTATGCTTGTAATCCTAGCTCCTCAAGAGGCTGAGATTCAAAGGATTATAGTTCAAAGTCAAGGAGGCAGAAAAGCCCTTGAGATTCCATCTCCAATTAAGCAGCAAAAAGCCAATCTGGAGATAGCCACAAGCAAGCAAGCTCAAGTTCAAGTCCCAGTATCAGAAAAAAAATTTTTTTTTACTTTATTGTTTTAGAGGTGATATACAGCATGATTACCTTTACATACTTCAGGTAATAAGTACATTTTCTTCCATTTTGAATAGTACCATCTGTTCATTTATTCTCTCCCTCCCATCTCTGCCCACAAGTTGCCCGGTTCACTTTCATCAATGTCCAGAAGAAAAAAAAAATTTAATTAAACTTCAAATTAACAATATCTCTTCCTCAAAAGATGCTGTGAAGAGAATGAAAGACAAGGCAAAGGCTGGAAACCATAGTACAAAACACACGCCAGATAAAGAACCTTGGAATATATAAAGAGCCTTCTAAAGTTAATGAGAAAAAAGTGTACATAGACATTTTATCAAAGACAAATGGATGAAGCCTAGAAGGATTGGCTCATACCTATATTCCCCAGCTACCTAAGAGGATTGTTGTATTTCTATAAATACAGTTATCCATGAGGAACCGGTTCCAGGGTCACCCCACCCCCATCCCAAAGAACAAAATCCAGGCACACAGCAGTCTGTGTGTTTCTGCCTTGGAACGAACAGGGCACAGCAGTCTAACCCCACAGACCATTATAGAGAAGGGCAAGATCAGACTAAGACCCTGGGTTGGGGGGGGGTTCAGGACCCAAAGGAGTCAGTCCAGACCAGCCTGAGCTGGCACACAGAGGAAGTATTAACTTGAGGAGCCAGGAGGGGTCAGAAAGGAGGGTAAGATTTCAAGCCCTACGACCGACAAAAAAAAAAAGAAAAAGAAAAAGAAAGGAGGGTGAGCACTGCTCCTAAAAGTCTAGAAAACGATGCTGGTACTGGGAGGGGGGGGGAGCTGGGACAGGAGTGGCTTCCGTTCAAGCTGGGGGACTTCAGAGGGCCAGATGGAAAGGAGCCCACTTGCTGGGGGAGAAAGAAGCTGGAGTGGGAGGTTGTTCGGGCTGGGATCCACAGTTCGGGTTACAGGTTCAGGAGACAGAAGCTGGATCCAGCTGCAGCTTAGGCTCTGAGGTACCCGGAAGGCTGGAGGAATGAGGGTGTTGAGATGAGAACAGCCATAATTAGCTATTTCCAGCCTGTTTCCAGGACTCCCACGCACCTGCATCCCACCTGTATAAGACATAAGAGCTGCCTAGTACACCAGCTATTCTCTTCTTCTCAAGTTTTGACAGTAATACATTCATCACAACGCATTTCAAAAGTGCAGGTGATCATTTTCTGATTCCCTTTTGCATCTTGTTTTATTTTCTTCCATCTTCTCTTCTACATATACACATATGTTCTGCATAATCAGTACCTTACTGAATACACAGTTTAGGACCTTGTGTTTCCCAATGCATGTAACATGAGAATGTTGTCGATCTTTATCCAGGAGTACAGTGAAATGTTTCTCACCACTGTTATGGGCTACATAAATGACACTGTATAACGGTGTGAGAACTTATTTAAACTACTTTCTGCTTTCTGATGCTGTATGTTTAGTTGTTTCACATTGCTTGCTTTTTTTGTCGTTGTTGTTGGTCATGGGACTTGAACTCGGGGCCTAGGTACTGCCCCTGAGCTTTGTCACTCAAGGCTAGTGCTCTACCACTTTGAGCTACAGTGTAACTTCCATTTTTCTGCTGGTTTACTGGAGATAAGTGTCTCATGGACTTTCCTGCCTGGGTTGGCTTTGAATGGCGATCCTACTGCTTACTATTGTTATACAAGAATCATATTGATTACCTTCACTTATCTTTCAAGACCCAATTCAATTCCCACCTCCTCCAGGAAGCCTCCCAGGACTACTTCACCTGCTGTCTTACTGTCTCACAGGGGGTAGGCTGGTCTCAGGCCCAGGGCTCACCTACCTCCCTGGGATTTCCCCCACACTTTGTAAACAGCAAGTACTTAATATGTGCTGACTGCATACAGCCCAGACTGGATCCCATGCCCACACAGGCTGAAGTCCAGACTCTCCAGCACAGCCTTCCAACTGTGTCTCTCCCAATGCCTGGGATGGTGGTCTCCTCCCCTAGGGGGCTTCCCCAACTCCCCAGGTCAGAATTCAGTTCTCTCTCTCACTCTCCCAGGATCCCTCAGCCCCCACACAGCTGGATAAGATGAAGCTGCACACATCCTCCACCCTCTGACACTTTAAGTCAGAGAGGTCATGCAGAGACTTGTCAATCTGTTTTGCCCTATGCACTAGGAAGCAATGGGAAACAGCCAATGGAGACCTGTCTGTGACACCTGGCATGGTGTGTCCATGCTGTGAGGGCTGAGGCCCCACTTCCAGCCTTGGGGGATGAGGAAACATTAAAAACAATAGCTTCCAAACTGGGCTTCCATGGCTAACACCTAGCTACTCAGGAGGCTGAGATTTGAGGATCACAATTTGAAGCCAACCTGGGCAGAAAAGTCTGTGGGACTTTTATCTTCACTTAACTACCCAAAAAAAGCCAGAAGTGGAGCTGAAGCTGAAATGGTAGAGTGCTAGCCTTAAGCCAAAGAAGCTCAGGGACAGTACCCAGACCCTGATTTCATGCCCCCAAGAGAAGAATGAACACACACACACACACACACACACACACACACACACACACACTGCCATTTTCTGAGCTCACAGAATGCCAAGCACATGACAGATATCATTTTATCATCCAGATGAGGGAGATACAACATCCTTATTCATAGATGAAGAAATTGATGCTTAATAGGTGAGCCTCAGCAATCTGACAGGGTACCAGATTGACAACTCAGGCCCCTAGCACACAAAGGCTGGCTTGTTGGATGCAATATTAGTGATGGAGAACTTTGAACATGGGCAGCATATTAGTGATGAGTGCAAATATCCAGACATTTTAATGGGGGCCCAGAACCAACAGCTCACCAGGGTTAAGACTTGTTCAGAGACTCAGCTCCCAAGTCTACAGAGAACAAGTTAGAGCTCTGGTAGAGGAGACACCGTATATACTTTGGCTCAGTTCAACAACCCACCCTGCCATGTGCTAACACAGTTCCTAACTAGCCTTAGTGAGGACTAGAAGGGGACAGCATGGGAGCAGTAAAAGACCACAGGGTCCATGCCCTCTTGAAAGGCTCTACAGAGGAAGGAAGGGTGAATGGGGTAAGGCTGGGGACTTCCTGGAAGAGGCAGTGTCCATCCTAAAGATTGAATATCCCTCCACATCCTGGGCCACCACCCCTTGGCCCAAGTCTACATTCTAGACACATTTAATGAGTCACGGCTCAGAAAAATACTCTACCTTCCTAGTCTGGGTCTTTGCTCAGCAGTAACCACCACAGAAATGCTCTTCTGTCAGCTGCAGAGATGCAGACACACAGCCCCAGGAAGTTTACTCACCTATAAACTTCTACTCTATAGCCGAAGCCTGTCTGTCTGTAACAATAGGCGATCATCCAAGACAGTACTCTGCTCTAGTCCCCTGGGTGCCCACACATGCCTGTGACTCCATAGTGGTGGAGCATATGCTCCAGTGGGATGGACAGACAGACATGGACACACACACACACACCACCACCACCACCACCACCACACTCGTGCCCACCAAACATACACAGGTAATTTGCACTGTATCTTCAGCTGTCCTTCGTCATGAACATCTACTGATGTTGGAGGCAGTGGTGCACCCCTGTAATCCTAGAGCTACTCTAGAGGCTGAGAGGTGATGATTGCGATCTGAAGCCAGCCCACGCGCTCAAGTGAGACTCTTATCTCTAATTAACTACCAAAAAGCTGGAAGTGGAGCTGTGGCTCAAGTTGTAGAAGTTCAGCCTTGAGAGCAAAAGCTAATGAAGAGAACCCTGGAGATCCCGAGTTTAAGCCCTAGCACAGGCATAAAGTACAATCAAATAAAAGTAAAATTTGCCTAATTCAACTCAACAGGATGGTCTACTTAAATGCTTGGAGTGTGGGAGTAACTCACAAGCTAAAATGCTACAATCAATGCAAAATAAAAGACACAACTCAAGTGAAATATGGAATGCAAGGAGGCCTCCCGAAAGGACTAAACCCCCAAACACTCACTTATCTGTTGCCCCTCCCTCTTGTCCTCATCTGAAGAAAGAATAGCCATGCCTGTCATCAGTCACCATGGAAGGGCTGTGACAAGCCATGCCTGTCATCAGTCACCATAGAAGGGCTGTGACAATCCAATAAGGTGACACAACACAGGTTACAGTGACAATCCAATAAGGTGACACAACACAGGGGCATGGAATTTGTGCATGGGGCAACCAGCTGGTGCCACCCTGCTATTTCAGTTAGTCCAAGGGATCCATCACTCAGACCCCATAGTAAGAACTATGTCTTCTGTGGGAACCCAGACCACACACAACTGCCACAAGCACAGCCCATGTCCCATCAAACCCTCGCCCTCACGGTCAGGGCACACCTCACCTGGGCCCCTTCATCTCTTCCCGAGTCACTTCTAAGCTGACTTCACAAACCATCCCAGGGCAGTGGAAAAACCAGGCCTCACTCACCCAGGGTGTCAGAGCCGCTCTCCACTGTTTCGTTGACCTTCCTTGCAACTCTGGCCACAGCCTCACCCATTTTCTTCAACATGCAGCCGTAGGTAACCTGCTCCCAGCCCCCAGGCCGGTCTGCTTCTCACAAAGAGGCCTGTGTCTGGGGAAAATGCAGGGCTATGAAGCACTCTCCTGCCAGCTGGAACCCCACCCTCCTCAGCATCCTCTTCCCCCAAGATCCAGGTGGCTAGGAAGCCCCAGGACAGGTCCAGGCCACCCACCTCTCTTGTGAGGCAGAGCCTAGGCCACAGTCAGAGTGGGCTTTGCAAAGGCTCATCGCGTATCAGGAGAAGACAGCTGGCCCCTCCTGCTTTTCTGGTAGGAAGTACACATGAGTATGACCTCACCAAACACAGGACCCAAGCCTGAACCTGTGGCCAGATAGGTGAGAACTCAGGTGTATACTGATCTGTGACTCAACAGGTAGGATGCTGGGAAGAAGGCGGGCCCAGCCAACTATAGAAGAAAGACACCTGCCCTCCACCCGCACTGTGCCCTATACTTGCACTTCCTCCAGCTCACCCCATTCCCATCTTCCAGGCTCCTCCTGCACAGCAGGAAGTGGGCACGCCAAGGCAAATGGAGCTCACAGTCTGCAGGTGGCTGGGCCCTCAGCATGAACTTCCTTCCCTTGGCCAGTCTGCAGGGAAGGTTACAGCACTAGCCTGTACACCTGATTATCAGCCTGATGCTGAGTTTATCTGCAAGCAGGGGGGAGGTGCTGGAAATGAGAGAAGGGAAATCTGATCACTAGGGGAGAGAGGGCTACAGAAAACAGCCAGAAGTCAGTGGTTCACACCTATAATCCTCTTCCAGAGGCTGAGATCTGAGGATTGAGGTTTGAAGCCAGCCTGGATAGGGAACTCGGTAAGACTTATCTACAATTCACCAAAACTCAGAAGTAGAGCTATGGTTCAAGTGGTAGAATATCAGCTTCGAGTAAAAAAGCTAAGGGACAGTGCCTAGGCACTGAGTGCAAGTCTTAGTACCAATACACACACACATACACACACACTATCATCTATCTATCTATCTATCTATCTATCTATCTATCTATCTATCTATCTATCTATCATCTATCTATCTGTCTATCTATCTATCATGTTAAAGACATAGGCATCATAAAATTATAAGCATGAGGACATAAAAGACATAAAAATGTTCCCAACTTTCCATTTAATACAGAGTGGGAAACTAAGACAGAAGGAGTAGCTAAGTGACCAAGACAAGGTTAAAGTGACTGAGTAGCAAAACCCAGGCCAGGCCAGGCCAGGTCCATGACCATCCTACCTGTAGCTCTCTATCTCCAATCCCAGCTCCAAAGGCAATTTGAGGAGCCCAGTGAACTAGCTCTACCCAAGGCCAGAGGCAAGTCTGGAAGGGCACAGAGCAGGGGGTGAGAACAATGCTCAGAGCTGACAGTAGATAGACACAATGCTCCTGGACTCAGCTGAACAAGCAGGACAGGTATGGCCAATCTACCTCTCCTCTCTCTGTTTCTCTCCAAGGGACTGACACATGGTGCACTGGTACAGGCCAAACGCCCAACTCTACTACTTAGTAACTAAGAAGCTTTGGTAGAGTTTCCCAACAATTGGGCCCAGTTTCTTCATCTGAGTAAGAAATGTGTCGATATTCATTTTCCTCAGGTAACACCACTGAGAAAATATATGGATCTGCCTAGATCAGAACCTAGGACACATATCCAACAAAGGCTACTTGAAGAAACAAAGCAGTATACATGCAGGTATGGCACCAGCAGCTAATCCCAGTTTCTTACTCATATGAACCTCAGCAAACAACTCAGTGAAACTCATCCTTAAGGAATGAGTAGAATTCCTGCTTCTCCACCTCCAGGAAGTCTCCCCAGACTGCCCCAGCCTTCAAGATTCTCTCCTCCCTCTGAGTTTCAGTAGCACTTAATGACTTAGGACAAGTCATTTAGGTTGTTTATGAGCTTTAAAACCACACACACAAATACACACACATACACACACACACACGCACACATACACACACGCACATGCACACTCATACACACATTATCTCACCTGGCTCTCTTTTACCCAGGCCAGATAACAAAATATACAGGCTCTGGTTGTATAGGGCTCAGGATAGAGTAAAGACTCCAGATGGAATAGAGAACAAACTTGGGATGACACGGGGCTGGAGTGAGTTCCAAAAAGCATCAACCGTTCCTTTTACTCCCAAGGCAGAGTCATTTTGTCAAAAATAACAAGAATTGCTGGGCACCAGTGACTCATGTCTGTAATCCTAGGCACTCAGAAGAGGCTGAGATCTGAATATCACTGTTCAAAGCCAGTCTAGACAAACAAATACTGAGGTAATTCTTTTTTTTGGGGGGGGAGGGGCGTCGGTAGTCGGGCTTGAGCACTGTCCCTGCACTCTTCAGCTCAAGGCAAGTACTCTAGGGCTTGAGTCACAGCACCACTTCCGGTTTTCTAGTGGTTTATTGGAGATAAGAGTCTCATTTCCTGCTCAGGCTGGCTTTGAACCCTGATCTGAGGTGATTCTTATCTTTGGAATTCTTATCTTTAACTGACCAACCAAATCCAGAACTGGAGGTGTGGCTCAAGTAGTAGAGTAACAGCCCAGAGTGGAAAAAAATCTGTGATAGTTTGAGACCAGGACTTCAAACTCTAGTAACAACAGCAAAAATAAATAAATGAAGAAGGAGGAGGAGGAGAGCAAGAGGAGGAGGAGGAAGAGGAGGAGGAGGAGGAAGAAGAGGAAGAGGAGAAGGAGGAAGACTTTAGTAATCAACCAGGAGCTCAGAAAGAAAGGCTAACGGAAGTGGGATAAAGAAACTTATTTTTCCTTTAAGCTGTAGACCTGCCTGGAACTTTCTGCAAAAGCCCCTGGGCTAGGCTGCCCTGGGATGTGAGGGGCCCCAGTGTCTACAAACAATTTGAGTCAATCAGAAATCATCATATGTCAGCACTGTTTGAACAATCAGGATACAAGGGTGGCCTTGCTGGAACCACAACTGAAACACAGGCCCCCATGGCAGCTTCACAGGCCAAGTTCTAGCCTCCAAGAGACACAAGAGAGTTGAGAGAATACTAAAGGGGAGAAACAGGAGCCATGATCCAGTCTTGGTCTTCATCTATGGACCCTCCAGCTAGATGGCACTAGTCCCAGGTATTGGAAAGGAGCCCTTTAGAGGGGCTGGGAAGGTGGCTCAGTGGTAGAGCACTTGCCTTGCATGCATGAGGCCCTGGGTTTGATTCCTCAGTACCACATAAGCAAAAAGAAAAAAAAAGCCGGAAGTGGCGCTGTGGCTCAAGTGGTAGAGTGTGGCTCAAGTGGTAGCCTTGAGCTGAAGAGCTGAGGGACAGCGCCCAGGCCCAGAGTTCAGGCCCCATGACCAGACCCCCCCAAAAAAAGGAGGCCTTAGAAATGTTCCAGGGGCCTGGTAAGGCTCAGTGGTAGAGTGCTTGCCTTGCATGCATGAGGCCCTGGGTTTTGATTCCTTAGCACCACATAAGCAGAAAAAGCTGGGAGTGGCGCTGTGGTTCAAGTGGTAGAGCACTAACCTTGAGCTAAAGAGCTGAGGGACAGGGCCCAAGCTGGGAGTACTTCCCTGTTCCATGGCCCCAGGGGAAGGAATAAGGTCCAAGAGCTGGACATCTGCTTCCCATAGGCCTATCCTCTGACTGGAGCAACTAATCCAAGTTTTGGAAAGTTTAGGTGTGTACAGCAGCCTCATTTGTAAAATGGAAATGCCACCATCAACTGGACTGTTGTGAAAAGTCACTTCAAGAAAGGCCCATCCAAAGTATTAAATGTACAATACAGACAGGAAGTTTGGATATAATAAACTGAAATACAGGAAAATTTAAAAAAAAAAGTTGCCCTAAGCCTGGCACTGGTGGCTCACACCTACAATCCTAGCTACTCAAGAGGCTGAGATCTGAGGACCAAAGGTCCAAGTGAACCCCAGGCAAAAACTCTGTAAAACTCTTTATCTCCAACTAACCAGCAAAATGCAGGATATGGAGCTGTGGTTCAAGTGGTACAGCATCAGCCTTGAGCAAACTACCTCAAGGGACAGATCAAAAAGGACAGTGCTTAGGCCCTGAGATCAAGCCTCCTAACAGGTGCATGGGTGCAGGAGAGCATGCACCCCCCTCCCATATTGCCCTGTTTGTGGGAGGTGCCAATACTGTCCTCCCTGTGTGTGTGTGAGAGGAGAGAGGAGGCAGCATTTAAACCAACTAGCCCGGTGACAAGCCCCTTACAAGTAAGAACTCTACCTTATCTGCGGTCCCAAGAGCTCTGCAAAGGAGCCTCTGCGACACCACGTCCGCACCAGCTGCTCCTATATTTAGTTTCTGGTGTGGTCAATTGGGAACTTTAGAGCCTGGCAGCCGCTCTGGCCAGCAACCGGAGCCTCCAGAGCCATGCGCGCCAGCTGCCCCCACTGCCGGCTCTAGCCTGGCCGATCCCAGGGTGAAGATGCGGGTGTGGGGGAGGAGAGGAGTGGAGGGCTTGCTCCCGACCCCAGTAGCCCCAAAGGCCCACTCGTGGCAGGACAGGGCTTGACCCACTTTCCCACCTCCAGGAAGAGAGACCGCTGGGGCGTGATCGGGACGCGACGGCGCCTGGTTTCTGCGCCATGGGGTTTGAGGAACCCCACGTGAGCTCTGCACCCCTGGACTGCGTCTCCCCTGACCTGTAAGGATGGCCAGGCCAGGATCCCCCGAGCACTGCACATCAGGCTCACCTCGATGCCTGCAGCGAGGGGCTCAATGTGGGACCCCCAGCTTGCCTGGCAGAAGCGGACGAGGCGAATAAAGCAAGCAGGTGGGGCCGTGGGTGGACGCGGAGGGCCGGGGACTGCTCTGCGGAGAGGCGCGCTGCGGGACAGGGACTACAGACCCCCCCCAATCCCCCTCCCCCCGCTCCTCTCGAGCGGAAGCAAACCCCGAAAAGTGTCACTCTGGGGACGAAATACACAGCAGCATCTCCCGGCAAGGGCGCCTCCCTCGGGAAACGGAAGCCCACCCAGGAGCGCTTCCTCCGGGCATCCCGGTACCCACTGCTCCCCTTCCCGGGCCATCGCGGTCCAGCCGCAGAGCGCAAGCCACACCGGAGACGCCACGGCCCCCTTCCCGCCACAGCTGGTGACGTGGGGGGGAGGGGACGCTGCAAATACCCGGACACTGCTCACCCTCTCCCCCACACACACACCCTGCAACGCTTGGCCTCGGACTATGTTTACTTTGCGGGGCTCGAAGCGTGTGGCCCGATCCCGGGAGGCTTTGGGCTCCACTTACAGCAGCAATGCCTCCCAGCGCCCCGCGCAGCGCAGTCACGCTCCCGCGGTCACCGGCGACGCCCCTTGCAAGTTCGGAGCTCCGCGGGGAGGAGCGTGCGAGGCCGCAGGGCCTGTGCGCACGACCTCTCGACCAATCGCTGCCTCAGGATGGACTCGGGGGCGGAGCTATCCCAGGCCCCGAACCGCGCGCACCAATCAGCGCGCGGGTCCTTACGCGCGCTCCCGAACGCAGGGAGGGACCGCTTTGTGTTCTGTTGTGAGTGCGCTTGCCGGGCGGGCGTGCAACCTCGGGTGTGCCGTGCACCCCAACATCCAGAGGACTGAGGTGCCGCCAAGGTTGGTTTTTCTCGAGTATTAGAGCAGAATTAACTGGATCAGGGGGTACTTTGGGGGAGAGAGAGAGAGAGAGAGAGGATGGAGCATTGGAAAACTTCTCATGTGGTGTCTTCGAGCGCCCATTCAGGTTCTGGCTGCATTGTTAATTCAGCTTTGGAAAGCCCCATGTTCTTTCCCGCCCGTTATCCGGAGTTAAAAGTGCTTAACTACTTCACGAGGTCGTTATAAGGATTAACCCAAGGAAGATTTAGAGAAATGCCAAGCCTACCCATGTCTGGGGCTCCCAGTGGTTCCTAGTTTGAACTCAGGGCCTCTGGCTTGCTAGACTGGCGCTCTACCACATGAGCCACGCCTCCAACACTACTTTTTACTGGTTATCTTGGAGATGGAGTCTCACAGACTTTTCTCCCAGAACTAGCTTTGAACCTTGATCCTCCAGATCTCAGCCTCCTTGAATAGTTAGGATTATAGTCATGAGCCACTTGAGCATGATTCATAGCTTTGTGTGTGTGTGTGTGTGTGTGTGTGTGTGTGTGTGTGTGTGTGTGTGTGTGTGTGTGTGTGTGTAGGTAGGTAGGTAGGTACTGGAACTTGAACTCAGGGCCTGGGCACTGTCCTTTAGCTTTTTCTCTGGAGGCTAGCCCTCCCACTTGAGCCACACCTCCACTTCTGGCTTTTTGGTGGCTAATTGTAGATAAGAGTCTCATGAAAGTTCCTGCTAGGCTGGCTCCAATTCTCAGATCTCAGCCTCCTGAGCTAATGAGGGGCCCTAGGCAGGACCCACCAAACAGCCTTTACAGGCAATATGGGAAGACAAAAGAGATGGGGCTCTCACTTCACCCAGTGGCAGTGATAAACATGCTAAATGCTCTGTTACACAGAAGCAAGCATTAAGTATGGGGAGTCTTGAAGGAAGTATATTTAATTCTGTCCTTGGGGTCTTAAGAAGTCTAAGGACCACATATTCTCTTGTGACTTGAGGTTATGGGTTGAATTGTGCCCCCCCCCCAAAAAAAAAGATAAGATACTAATTCCTGGGCTGGGAAGGTGGCTCAGTGGTAGAGCGCTTGCCTTGCATGCATGAGGCACTGGGTTCAATTCCTCAGCACCACATGAGCAGAAAAAAAAGCCAGAAGTGGCACTGTGGCTCAAGTGGTAGAGCGCTAGCCTTGAGCTGAAGAGCTGAGGGACAGCGCCCAGGCCCAGAGTTCAGGCCCCACGACCGGGTCCAAAAAAAAAAAAAAAATACTAATTCCTAGTACCTCTGAATGTGACCTTATTTAGACATGGGGTCATTGTAGATGTAATTAGTTAAGGTAAGGACAAACTGGAGCAGGGTGGGCTATTAATCCAGTATGATTGATACTCTTAGAAGAGAAGGGACCCATGGAGAGAACACCATGTAAATCTGATGGAGGCAAAGATAGCTTGATGTGCCTGCAAGCCAAGGAATGCCAGAAGATGATGAAAGGACCAGACTTTCTCCACATCCTTCAGAAAGGAACCGACCCTCTCAATATCAATTTCAGATGTTTAGCTTTCTGAATTATGAAATAATACATTTCTGTTGTTTTCATTACCCAACTGGACACAGCAGTGCCTGTCTGTAGACCCAGCTATTCAGGAGGCTGAGACAAGAAGATCATTTGAGCTTATGAGTTCAAGACCAGCCTGGGCAACATAGCTAGTTCCTAGTATAACAGGTCCTAAAACCTACTTCTACTAAAAAGCACTGACTCCTTAAGTGAGCCTACAAGTTAACTAAAAGCAGGAGAAAAGCCAGACATCTCAGCCTTCATTTTGAATCTGGCTCTTTCCTTTGTCTTAAGACTTAGGTTCAGACTCTGGTTTAATTCATATAATCACATTACTCACTCAGATGTCCATGTAAAAGCAACACCTAACCAATCACCCCCTTCAGTGCTTCCACTATCAGCCTCTACAATGTCCTCTTCCAAAATCCCCCAAAGACACCTGGAAGTCTCCACTCATTGTCCCAAACCTGCAGTATCCATTGATTCTGGGAACATCAGAGACTCCTAGATAGATCACCCCAAGAAGAGATGACACCCACCCCCCAACTCAGAGCACTTATCTCCTGAGAGCTAGACTGTCCCCATCAAGCGACACTTTGAAGATTACTTAACCCTGCATACCTCTCACCCTCTGCTTCAATTCTTTCTCTATTTTTTTTTTTTTTTTTGGGGGAGGGGGTCCGGTCGTGGGCCTGAACTCTGGGCCTGGGTGCTGTCCCTCAGCTCTTCAGCTCAAGGCTAGCGCTCTACCACTTGAGCCACAATGCCACTTCCGGCTTTTTTTCTGCTTATGTGGTACTGAGGAATTGAACCCAGTGCCTCATGCATGCAAGGCAAGCGCTTTACCACTGAGCCACCTTCCCAGCCCCTTCTTTATTTAAACTGAAAGCTAGCCAGATGTCAGTGGCTCATGCCTGTAATCCTAGCTACTCAGGAGACTGAGACCTGAGGATCATGATTCGAAGCCAGCCGGGCAGGAAAGTCTGTGAGACTCTTATCTCCAATTAACCACTAGAAAACTGGACATGGTGTTGTGTTTCAAGGTGGCACTATCCTTAAGCAAAAGAGCTAAGAGACAGCACCCAGGCCCTGAGTTCAAGGCTGATGACTGACAAAAAACAAAAACCCCTAAAGTTCATGAGCTCAAATGCTTACATTTCCCTCTTCCCAACAGAGCTGTGTTGATTAAACCCTTTCCTGTCCCTGAGCTCTCTTGCTCAAGGCTAGTGTTCTACCACTTTGAGCTACAGCTCTACTTATAGCTGTCTAGTGGTTAATTAGAGGAGAGTCTCATGGACTTTCCTGCCTTGGTTGGCTTTGAAAGGTGATCCTCAGATATCAGGCTCTGATTAGCTAAGATTACAGGCATGAGCCACCAGTGCCTGGCTTTTGCTGTTGCTGCTGCTTTCTTCATCTCCTCCCCCTCCCCCTCTTCCTCCTCCTCCTCCTCCTCCTCCTCCTCCTCCTCCTCCTCCTCCTCCTCCTCCTCCTCCTCCTCCTTCTTCTTGTCCTGGGGCTTGAACCTCAGGGCCTGGGTTCTATCCCTGAGCCTCTTTGTGTTCAAGGCTAGCGCTCTACCATTTGAGCCACAGTGCCACTCCTGGCTTTTTCTGTTTATGTTGTACTGAGGAATTGAACTCAGGACTTCATGCATGCTAAGCAAGCACTCTACCACTAAGTCACATTCTCAGCCCTTGCTCTTTTTTTAAATGGTACTGGGGTTGAACCTAGGGCCTCATGCTTACTAGATAGGTACTCTACTACTGTGCTATGCATCCAGCCCTTTTTTACTTTTAGTTATTTTTTCTGATACAGTTTCAGGAAGACATTTTCTTGGTGAAAAATCTTATCCAGCTCCAACCATCTCCCCAGAAGAGATCCAGAGCTTCCTTGGACACTGGCACTTAAGGGCATGGCACAAGTCTGGTAACCAAAGTCAAAGTCACATACCCTTCATCCACAGAGACTCATATACTTTGCCAAGGCTCAAAAACAGCCCTTCTTGCCGGGTGCTGATGGCTCACGCCTGTAATCCTAGCTACTTAGGAGGCTGAGATCTGAGGATCACAGTTCCAAGCCAGCCCGGGCAGGAAAGTCCATGAGACTCTTATCTACAATAAACCACTAGAAAACCAGAAGTAGCGCTGCGGCTCAAGTGGTAGAGCGCTCCCCTTGAGCTGAAGAGCACAAGGACAGCGCCCAAGCCCAGAGTTCAAGCGTCACGACCAACCAAAAAAAAAAAACAAAACAAAACAAAAAACAGCCCTTCTTGATACTTGAAAGCCTTGTGGACTAACTGCAAATAGAAAATCTCTTGTGGAATTACAGAGCTGTTGTACAGCTGTTTCCTGGCCAGCACATCCCTCACTGAGCAGATAAATTCTAAATTCTCCTGGTAACCATGGAAGGCACTATTCTATAAACAGAGCCCTAATTCCACTCTATAACTAAAGAACAATGGCCCGTCACAGAATTTCTAGAAACAAACTCAAGACCTGTTAGAGGTTGATTAGTATTCTCTATCATTACAAAAACAAAACCTATGCTAGGCACCGGTGGCTCATGCCTGTAATCCTAACTACTCAGGAGGCTAAGATCTGAAGATCGTGGTTCAAGGCCAGCCCAGGCAGGAAAGTCCGTGAGACTCATCTCCAATAACCCACTAGAAAACCGGAAGTGGCACTGTGGCTCAAGCGGTAGAGTGCTTGCCTTGAGCTGAAGAGTGCAGGGACAGCATCCAAGCCAAGGGTTCAAGCCCCACTACCGACCCCCCCCCCCAAAAAGAACAGATTTTAGCCAGGCATGGTGACACTATACTTGTAATCCCAGCTAATCAGGAGACTGAGGCAGTAACGCTGTGAGCTCAAGGTAGGCCTGGGCAACATCGTGAGACCCCATTTCAAAAAACTAGATGTTGAAGTTCTACTCCTTACTACCTCAGCATGTGATCTCATTTGGAGAGTTCACAATGGTAATCAAGTTTAAAGTGAAGTCCTTAAGGTGGGCCAAGACAATATGGCTATGTCTTTATAAAAAAAAAAAGGGACATTTACATACAGACAAATATACTCACAGAGAAGACAATATGAAGTGACACAGAGAGAAAATATCTAAAACAGATCTTTCCTTCAGTCCTCAGGAAGAAACAGCCTTTGACACCTTGATTTTGGATTTCTCGCCTCCAGAACTAAAAGACAATAAGG